AATTGTTCAAAATAAAAAAAATTTATAAGAAAATCTTTTTACTATAAAATAGCAATTATAATTATATAATGTGGTATATCAAGTCATTTGAGAGAAGAATTGTTGAAAAGAAAGGCTCTACTTCTGGTCAAGTTCGCTAGTTATTATTCCAGTTAGATTTCGTCGCCAGTGAGTCACTTTAGGATAAAAGTGCAAATGAGTCAACACTTGAATTTTTAATAGCAAGTTTACTCCCATGCAGAAGTCGGGAGTCGAAGTAATTCTCTTACCTCACAATCTGATAATAATAATAACTGATAACTGAGCCGCTATCCACTCGGCTATCTTAACGGATTCATCGAATATTATAGGTTCGGTTCCCTCCCTCTTGGCAGTAGAATAATATATATATATATATATATATGTATAATGATTTTTTTTTAAAATGATTACTGGTTAAACTCGCTTTGCTGGCTTGTCGTACTGGACAAATATATGCCAGAGAATGCCTTGGCGATGAAGTACAGGCGTCGCCAGCATCACCCGAATTTTTGGATTATCTCTTGCGGGGAATAGAATCTTAACATCGGCGCCCCGAATTGAGCAACAGCCCACTAAGCCATCCTATTCTTCAATATAATATTATGTTGTTATTATTAGTATTTTATGATTGACTCTGTCGAAAAATGCCTCAGAAACCACTGATAATTGACTCTGTGATGAAACATGATAATCAAAGAGTTGACCTTTGCAGTTATTTGAACAAACACTATTGCTTATTAGATGTTTAGCAGATCGGTACAAAAAGAATAAGTCATTGTGAGTACTGAGAACAGGCGCGTTCCTTTGTTTGACCAAGCTTCTTTAGATATGCTTGTGGGTATAAAAGATTTTATTGACGGGTACAGGGAGGAGATAGAAATCGGATTGCATCAACTGACGAGCTTTGTCAATGGCGCCAATTTATTAGCTTTATTTTAAATTTAAATTAAATTTAAATTAAATTTATAAATTTAAAAATATATGTTTCTGCATCGATTAATTTGTCTTTTAAGAACATTTTTTACCAAAGTTTCCTAAAATAAAACATTTTTACTCGATCAATAGGAAAATTTTTCAAACTGAATATTTTTAAGCTTTTTTTTACTTGTAAGTTCTTCCAAGAAAAATGCAACTTCTAAGACCCAACATTGCATATCTTTTTTTCCGTTTCTTGCTTGATTGGCTCCAGTTGCCATAAGAAAAGAGAATGATTTGAGGATAAAACATTGGCTTCCACAATCATTTGTATTTTGCTTCTAATGGAATTTACTTCTCATATCTGACAAAAATTAATTCCATTATACTTGATCTCAATTCAGTGAAAATGACACTCGTCTGTGAATTTGCCTAATTGAAAATTTACTGCCATTCATTATAAGTACATCTGCGTCATTCCTTTATTCATTCTTATTACAACCATACAATGCAATATAGTTCCATTTAGCTCAAAGGAAAATTAAGAAAATATTAAAAGCTTTTACGAAGAGCGTAGGAATTTAATGGTTTTCATACCATATATGAATAACATGAAAAAAGCATGACGATATGGCGGAAATTTGACTACTTGACTGGACAGAATTATTTCTGAAATTGCCTATATAGACCAAAATTTGTAGCGTAAAACATTTCACCACCTAAAATACAAAACTATACAAAGAAAGATAGAAAGCGAAAAGAAATTTGAAACATTTTGCTCTAAAATTTGGTCTTCAACTCATTGAGCAATACTATTCCATTAATTTTTCCAATCATTTGGAAAGATTCATCTCTTCTTTCAACTTCAAGCTCGTGTTGATTGATTGAAGCTAACGAACAGATGCGATAGATAGATAGCATTCACAATAGTTTAGTAGCTAACCACTATGATGGCCATAAAGATTTTTTTTTGCTTCTGATGCACCGCATTGTTCACCATTCAATAAATTTAAAAATACACGATATTGTTTTATGTAGAAATTTCGTTCCATTTAATTCCAAACAACTTCATTCTTAAATTATTCGCTCTGAAAAGAAACTATTTCATTAAAGAATTTTGCTGGATAACCACCTTCACTTCCATCGTTAAATGATTTTTGAGGTTTATCTTAGTAACCAACAAAGCCGGTTATATAGAAAATGGCGAGTTTTCTTGAAGGAAATGAAGGCTATGCAAACCATTTTAGCTGAATTATCAATCGCAAAAACATAACCTATTTTGCTAAAAGGTTTGAACGATTCAGAACCAAAAAAGTTTTCAAATCCATTCAACAAATTTGTTTTAAAAAAGCAAAATTAAACAAATTCGTGAAAATTTAATTTAATTTAATTTTAATTTTAATTTGATTTTTAATTTTAATTTATAATATATAATTTTTTCTCATGAAATCACGAAGAAATCCATCAGAAGAATTGTTTATATTTCTTATTGTTAAAAAAATGTAAGAAATTTGATTATAGTGATTTAGCAATCATCACCATCATCACTGAAGTTAAAAATTCGCAAAACTCAGTATATAAAAAGAATATAGTAATTTTTTGAATTTCTTTCACCATATGTTGCACACATATTGAAGTAATTGTTGCGGTATTTGTTAATGAGAACCTCTTCGCATGGGCAATTTTTTTCGTTGAGGAATAAGAAAAAAGTTAGATCAAATTTTGAAAATAATTTTAAAATTTTTAGTACGATTCATTAAAATGCGAATTCATTGTTTCCCAAAAAATATTTATGAAATTCACGGACCTTTGCGAATGAGGGAAAAATGCATTATTAACATAGCTATTCAATTAAGTCGAAAATATTTGTATAATTTGTAGCGAATAACTATCTGGCAAAACTCTGCTATATATATAATAACTTAAATAAATTGTTTGTTTAACGCTTAGCGCAGTGATCTAGCTTGCAGCTCTGAATCTTTGCGATAGATATAAAACCTAAATTGTTTACATTCAGAAAGAAAACGATCAGGTAATTCTACCTTCATGCATGGGCGAATGCCATTACAGTCAAGCACTCTCAACCAAATATTCAGTCGCTAATGCAAACATTTGTAGCTTCGCTATGTTAAGACATTTGTAGATTAATTAACGATCGCTACCTTCTTTCCTTCTTTCACTTCATCTTATAATTTTAAGTAGGGAGCATAAAGTTTTATAAAATTTGCAAAAATCTTGCTACAAATGCCTTAATCTTGTGAGTCAATTTCGTAAAAATGCATTAGCTTTATTATGATAAAAAAAGTTTTACTTAAAAAATTTTTACTTTTACGTAATGGAAGTTTCCCAGAATTAAAAGTGAAATTCGCAAATGAATAATTAATGATTATAGTGAGTTTAAACTGTCTGCTATAGTTTTAACGAAGTGAAGGGTGAAAGAGACAAATTTTTGAGCGAAAAATTTTCGACAACAAAATCAAATTTTAAATAACTTTTATTTGAGAGAACTGCTAAATGTATAAATTGACAAGTAAGATGTGAATTTTGAAGCCTCTCTATTTACCTGAATCTATTTGCAAACTTATTTCTTTTGCTCATTTTGTGGAATGATTTTTTTTGAAATTCAGACCTTGCATTTAGTATGCAAGAGTAAATCTGTCATTAAAGAATATATGATGTTGGCGATCTACCTGTAGTTCTACCGTCAAATAGCTCTTTGACAAAAACTTTTCATTTTTTTGTTATTTATTATTTTACTATTTTTTTTACTGCTTTTTTGTTATTCTACAAATAATATTATTTTATACAGATATGTGCTATAGATATAATAAAAAATTTAAGAATAGAATACTTTCTTTTTCTTCTAATAACATGCACCATTTCTGGTTTGACTGGTTCCATTAACTGTTAAGATGATATCTTCTTCGAATAATTATTTGTGAACCCACCAACATGTAAGATGATGCAGTTTTTTGACTATTTATTTATTATTTTTCGAATGAATATGGTTCCAAAAGTTTTAAACTGTAAATACTTTAAGTAAAATGTATTTTTTTGGAAATCAGTGAATGGAAATTGAATTTTAATACTTAGAATTGATAATAAATTCAACATGATTCAGTCAGTCTTTTTTTCGATAAGTTGCATCACTATCAATTAAATCTTTTTTAAGAAAATAAGAAAAGATGACTTAAATTAAATTAAATTCACATCAAGATTTGGTTATCGTGCAGAAATTAACGAAAAAATGGCCAAAAATTGGGTCAAATATCGACGATGTGTGTTAAAATTGAGAAAGTGAATTCATAAAATTTTCTTCACGATGCCAAAGAAGTTAGTCGTTCTCTTTTTCTTTTGCTTTTTCTGTTACCTTCTGTTACTTTTATTTCGATTTTTTGAATTTTATTATGTAGTAATTTAATCCAAAAGCTGTGTTCCAAAGCAGTGAGAAGCAGATGCAGTGGTTTTTTTGAAATGAATTTAAAAGATTCAATCTGTTCATATTCAAAAGTTCTTTTTTAAATCAAAATTTTAAAAAAAACAATTTTGTTACACGAAAATTTAGCTATGATGTTAAAAAAATTACTTTTCAGAGTTTTTGAAAATTTAACAGTAATACTTTCGATAAATTTGTTGATACTATTAAGAACAAATAATGGTTGGTGATATTTTTCATTTCTTTTAATTTCTTATATTTTAATAATTTTTTAAATGATGTTTGCCGATGTTTTTGCTTGAACTGACGTAGGAATTTTCTATTATTTTTGATTCTCCATATGAAAATTCTCTTTGATCCATAAATTATTGTTTATTAAAATTGATATAATCTGTCGTTAATTTATTAATAAGCAATGGATAATTTTCTAGATTTTAACTTTTATATCCATCTTGGCAAGCATATAAATATCCATCTTGGCTTTGCTGATAATTGGTGTGATCTGAACAATGATCCAAAATCTTGAGGGCGGATGGAGTGAGAGAAGGAGAACTGGTAGGCGTGAGATTATGGAGACCGAGAGTACAGGCCAAGCGTGGCGTCGATAAGGTGTCATAGAAGAAATGTCATGGCAGCTGGTTTGTAAAGAGGGACGTATGGCTCAGGGCAAAAAATTGTTGTTACAAATCAATTTGTTGTAAAAAATCTTTTTGGCAATCGCGTAATCAACATTGAAAAACATTTAGAAAGAACGAAGGGCTAATTTTGTAAGGCTTTCGATTCTTTAATTCCTCACTTTTTTTACCAGCTCAATAAATGAAAAAATACAAAAGTGATTTAGCGAAGTTGCTTTTTTTTGGCTCGGAAAGAATCACGGACAAAATTATCTATGAATGGAACCCAAATTTCTCAAATCTTTAAATCGTGTATAAGACGTTCCCATGACTTGAGAAGATGTGCAAATAGATAAAATTACCGAAGCAGACCAATTTGCACTTCACTATAAAAGTGAATGGACTTTGAATTATAAGTACTAATTGATAATTTGTTAATATTTCTGTTCAATTCTTATTAAAATTTATGATTGAAAATTGCACTTATTTATTTAATTTTTCATTTGGATTTTATTTTTCATATTTTGATATTTTACTTTAAGAATTTTTTTTTATTTCTCGATGCACCATTCCCCGGCTCCTTCCGCTCATTTTTTGGAAAATAAATTTTATGAAGAGCTATTTGACGACAGAAATACGTATAGTTAACAACACGATGACTTTTGAAAGACCCATTCCTGTCGAAATCCACCACCAGCGTTACGAAATAAAAGCAAAAACTTACTAAGCCATTCTAGCCATTTTATTTTATTAATTCTTCGAATTTTGATTGGAATTTCTTTTCCTTGTTTTTTTTCATTCTTAATTCTTGGCTTTGTCAAAATGGTTTTTAATTTGAAATTACAATGGTTCCAGTAAAATTTCAGCAAAATTAACAAAAGTTTAGTATTCTATATAATAAATATTACATTTATGAATTCTTTACCTTATTTAGTAGATTTTTGATTTTATTCGCATACTTGAAAAAAATCTTAGGACAATTATCATTGGGAAAATACGATGGTATGCCAAGTTTATCGAATCAAAAATTGCACGGTTTACAAGCTACAGAAGATTTTGCAGTTCATCATCCGATAATCTTGAATAATGTCGATATGCATAACAAAAACAAATTTCCAGTAATATTATAAAATTTTTTATCCTAAGAAATTTATTGCTGAAGTTAACCACAATGATGCGAATGAAAATAAAGGCAAAAAAAGAATGAAGAAAGGAAAAGAAACGAGAAATGACCAATCTTTTACGCACTGGCCAGATCAGACAATTAAAATCAGACAATTATTGTTGAGATTTTCCATACCTTTTGATTTCTCGCAAAATTTTCAGAAAGAATACGTTGAAAATACGGCGAAATTGGAACAAATTCCATTACCAATAGTGAGTGAAATTCGACCAAACGAGCTTGTTAATAAAATGATGAGGTTTGCAAGTTTTTACCCGTAAATTTTTCAATAAGATATCCATCTAAAAAGAAACAATGAGATGAGAATTATGAATTATGCGAATGGATCAAATCTTTTTTTTTAAATTCGCAGATAATTAGGAAAAAATGGCTCATTTTTTGGAATCTTATACTTTTTACTCTTTTAGCCAAACATCGACTAATGGTTCGCTGAAAAATATTATGCACTTGATCAATGGAGAACATGAAAGACAAATAGTACCAGCCATATCCAGTAAAGGTGAGTAACTTCTTTGTGCTGAATACGTGGCTTTATGCTACTGAAGTTTCCTTATATTATTCCTTGATTTTCTCACATTATTTTAAATTATTTCTCTCAGGAAATTCTTATTTTTTTTTAGCATACCAATCAGGATTCTTCGACGAAAGATTTTTCATGACTAATATCAGTTATCGAGTACCAGAAATAACAAAAGCTGAATATGAAGCTGACAAGACCATGGAGCGAAAACCAATTTTCAATCAATATGACGGTACCAGAGAAGAAATAATCATTGATAAAAATCAAATGCCATCGATATCGATTGCTCAGCCAGAGGAAGTATTAGAAGTATTAGAAGAACGAGAATTCAAAATTAGTGGTAATAATGACGCCAAACGAAGTCAGCACGTTCACTCCAATGACAGTTTTTTTGAAGGAAGAAATGAACTAACGACCGATCATCGCATTGCTGGTATTGTTGATAACATACCACAGAATATTTTCTAACTACATGAATGATGAAAAAAATGCACTTTTAGGTACTGACGGAGCATTAAAAGACGAAGATTTGTCGAAGAAAGATGAGATTGAACAAAAACTTGCCGAATCTTCATTGCATTTAAATGCAATGAGTCAGAGGTCAGTGGTCTCAACAACGTTCGTTTTTTCCATTCCCTATTTTTTTCCATTAATTAGAAAATACTGATATTATTCATTAAAATTTCTTTTTTAGTTGAAATGATTTTACTAAATTTTTCTTTTTTAGTTTCTTTAAATCTATTAAGAGTTATAGAAATTATTTTAGCATAGCTGATGCAGACGCGCTACAGATGTTGCTAAGAGAATTTCAACCAGTAAATTATGAACTTGAAGCAAATGGCGAAATACTGTGGAGTAATAAGCATATATTTGAAGACCCTATTGTTATTATGAATGACTCAAAATCAGGTAAACAAAGTAGGTCTCAAGGTAAAGGGAGGTATATTAAGATTGCAAATTCAATAATTACAGGAACTGAAATTTTATCCCTAAACGCAAAAAGTAATGAAACTTTGGAATTTTCCTGCAATCTCCCTGAAAAGGTATTTTGTGCCACCGATTTCATGTCAGACGGATCTTCTCGATTGCGCGTTGTTCTTTCATCTGTAAAAAATCTTACTTCATTCGATCTGCCCATATCGGTTATTTCAAAGCCTAAAAATAATGATAGTTATAAGGTTCATTTATTATTTATTCGTTTATTTATTTATTCATTTATTAATTAATATTTATGCTTTTTTTTCTTTTCTTTTTTTTATGTTTACCATTTCTGGTTAAATTCGCTTACTCTGACTTATTGGACCATGCGAAGAGTCAACTATTGATGCAAACTTTCTGAAACGTCGTTAATAAGTCCCCAGCATCATCCAGATTTTCCAAAGATAATTCACTCTGACTCTGACGAACTGAGCAATAATGTATTTATATTTACTTTATTAATTAAAACATCTTCTATAGATATACGAAGTACTGAGGCCATACATACATATGAATTAATATTTAGGCAGTTTACGATAAATTTAAAGCCTTTTGTCCTATAAGTTTTTTATCTACTATTTTTTTATACTGACCAAAGAAAATTTGTATTTATTTCAGATTGACAAAATTATTATGATCCATTTTGTTGTGGGAAAAAAAGAGTTTAGTTTATCTGAAGTGGAAAATGACAAATTGTTTGCTAACGAAAATGAATTGAGGATTGTGTTAAATACTTCCACAACTCCACACGAAACAGATCCAAAGTTCATTGCTATACCCGCTATTAAAAATGTATTTAAGTCAAATTTACCAAGTTTTTCAAATCCATATATTGACTTCACGAAAATTACCAATATTTCGACGCTAATTACAAAAAATGAGGAAGCTGGCGATAATATAACAGCAACTGCGGCAGCTTCTAATCAAAGTCAATATCTGGCTACAAAAATATTTGATACAACCAGGAAAGACCTTTTTAAGGTCAATACAGTTGCTTTATTTGATAATACCATTTCTAATGCAACTAATAAATCTCAGCTAGACAGCTTTGAAATTAATACAGCGAAAAATGATTCAACTTTTGAACATTTTACTACGACAGATAAGTATATAAATGTCGATGCAGGGCTTCAGTCATCAGAATCCACATTTTTGCCGCACTTCGAGCATAATTCTTATGATTGTTATATTGAAAAAGGATCCAACAAGGTAAAACTATAATTTGTAAAACTATAATTATGTTAAGATAATATACGAATTGAAAACCGAGTCCGAATTTAGAAAAAATAGTAAAAGTGCACCCATTAGTACTTATTTCTACTTCTGTTCCCACCTCTGGCACCATTTAGAGGTTTTCTCGGGAAATATGGTGATAGAAATGGAAGCAGGCCGGCATCACTACTTAGATTTTTTTAGTGTCGGATTTTCGGAGGCACAATGGGAATCTTTGCTTCCATATACGATAATCTGAGTCATTATCAGTTGGCTATTTCTACATTTACATGAAAAAATGTAAATATAAAGATAGAAATGCATTTTTCATCAATTATCAAATATTTGCTCACTTCATATGTATCACATGGATTAGTGGGACTAATAAAATAATTAATATATTTTAAATATATTTCTAAATTAAATTATACATATGTGACTAGTTAAATTTTAATATTATGAAAAATGATTGCAGAAATCATTGGTTCTTGCTACAATTAATTTTATCGGATATTCTGGAAATGAGCCTCCTGCGTTTTCAATCACAGATGATAACAATGACTGGTTTGAAATAGGAGAAATCAGCTATGATGAAGTACAATCCCTTCAAAAATTAGCTGATGATAATTAATCTATGATTCTAAGGGCATGATGTTGAGTAGCGAGGATTAAGGTGTCGAATTATGTAAATTGTAATAATGTAATTAATTATAATTTCGAATCCTGTCGGCCTTGAAGTTCTACTTTATTTCTACCCACTTTATGATAGGTTCTAATTATTAATATGAATATATGTTTTATTAGTGAAGAAGGTCAGTTTCCTTGCAAATTTTCCCTAAATTCTCTAAATCTTAGGCCGCAGATCACATGAAAAGTGTGGTAAAAATCATGCAAAAGAACGATACCTTCATCGAAGCAAATTCGACAATGAACAATTTGTATTCTTTTACGATAGAGGTTTGAATTCCGTGGCTGTTTTTTTGCTATTGTAAAAGCGATTTCAGCGCCAATTATTTTGCAAAATATTTAATTTCATTTCTAAATACACTTTAATATTTTTTTGAGATTTGCCTGAGTTCTTTGTTCTCCATTATTTCAATATTTTAATATTTTCTACTTCTTCCGTAGTCTCAAAGTTACATCAAGAGAGATATCAAACTTTTTTGAATTTTCAGGCCAATCAAAGAAATTTTGTAGCGAAAACAGTTATCAATGTTGAAATACTTGCATTCATAGTAGATGGTCAAAAAACAAATTCGTTGACAACTTCTAGAGATGACCTGAATTCGTCGGCCGTTGGGCATGAAAGATCTACGAAGGTTACACCTTTAATGGATTCATCGACTAGCATTATTAATGCTATGGAAATCGGCGATGTCCATAAACCACAGTTCGACACAGAATATAAAGGCATTCATCTCGATAATTCTGAAAATTCATTTCTTGAATTACAAAACACTATCGATTCAACTAAAATATCTTATGTTGAGCAAATGGAAGATGCAAACAAACCACAGTCTCATAAAGTTTCGTCAGATTTCATACCTAAATTAGGCAATATGCGTGATTCTTCTATAGATTTAGCGAAAATACAACAATTTCCTAAAACAATTGTTTCCTTCTCGACTGATACAGACAACACAGATTTCAAAAGGATAAAAGACATAACTAGTGATAATACTGCTTTTTCTAAAAATTATGGAGTCAACACAATAGGATTTATCGAAAATAAGAAAGAAAAAATTATGCAAAACGATTTTAATGAAAAATTTCTGACCAAAGAAACTACAAATTCGAAAATTGATTTGTCGAATTTGCCAGAAAAATTCAGTGACCAACAAAGAAGGAAAATTTATGAGACAGGTTTGCTTATACCTTCTATAAGATGAAATAAAATATTAGCCAACTACTGAAAGCGTATTAAACCGACGATAACTAAAGCTATCTCTCTGTCCTATCCTATCTTCCTGTAAAGAAATGGAAATTTACAAAAATTTATCCATACTTTTTTAAATTTTGTCGAAAACTGCTTGTTGATACCCTAAGTTATTTAGACGATTACTCCATCGCTCCATCGTCCAAACTCAGCACCAGGTTTCAAGTCTTAGACTTTAATAAGTTTTTTACTTGTATAAAATTTCTGACCTAGTGAAGAAGCCGAATAATAATGCTAGATATTGTGATCGAAATAATATTCCACTCGACCAAGTGCAAATAAATAAATAAATTTATATATATATATATATATATATAAAAGGATCGATCGAGCTTGGAGATGTCTTACATCTTGTAGCCAGCGGAGCCAGCCTAACCAGTAATGGTGAGGGCTATTAGAAAAAAAAGAATATATATATACATAAGACCTGCAGCTTTGGTAGTTTGATAAGATTATAAAAAGGTAGTTCCTCATGCATTTGTTTTTTCCAGAACTTGACATGAAGTTTGAAATGAAAGATGCTAAAACACTTACAATACCTGAAAATTTAAAGTGCGGTGACATTGTGCCAAACTTCAAAATAATGATTACAGCTATTGAAATGGTTAGTCTTTCTACGATATGAAGAAAATTTTGGGAAATATGATTTTTGATTTTTCAACGCTTTGCTATGGATTTTTAGCATTTCGATGCTATTATTTTATAATTCTAATTCTTTTAACCATTAATCTGATGGCGATGGGTAAGCGAATTAAAATCTATAAATGTATATTTTTTCATCTCTTAAATAATGCATAATGTCGCCTTTTAGGATCCATTTGATGTGATTATTGTAAATGTTAATTCAACAATATTTGATATTGTTCCACAACGAATGCAACCAGGGAAAACTGTTTTTCTTACTATCAAAGATACACAGCAAATTGATTATGAAATTCCAGTTAAAACTTTCGATATAAAGGTTTTTTTTTTTAAAGTGCTGGCCATTGCTGGTTAAACCCGCTCTGATGGTTAATTAGATCAACTAAATTTTGCTAGGGAAATCGCCAGCATTATCTGCATTTTTGAAGGGCAAGTTTACTTTTGCCAGACGTAGTACCTCAACGTTAGCGCTCTAAACTGAGCAATAACCCACTCAGCCATTTTATCTCCTTATGCCTTCGCCATTCAGCAACATTGTCGCCCGACGAAGCGTGGATTCGAACTCGAGTCATTCGTTGATGTATAGAAATTTTTTTGGATAAACTTTGTGCGATAATTGATCATTCTATATACAATTTTTTTATCAGAATCACAGATTTTTCTAGACTATTTTTTAGACTAAATGAATAAGTGGCACATATTGCTTCCACAGGATTCGATTCCTGATCTTTGACAAGAACTAATCTGTCAAAGATCTGCTAAAGGAAAAGAGAAACCTAGGTGGTACTAGGTCCTATTATTTTTATTCCCAGTTAACTCTTGGCGAAGAAATCTCATCTTAAGAATTAATAAAATCGCTAAATGAGTTGTGAGTGTTGTTAAAAGAAACGGAAAACCATTACCTAAATTTAAATATAATTCAGACAAAATTTAAGAAATTTAAATTTCAAACTTTAAATTTCTAAAAAATTTTAGGTAACAGCTTTTATGCGATCTCGATCATATATATTTATATCAAAGACATTGACAGTTATGAAAAAAGATTCCAGTGATAATCCACCGAGATTTACCAATAACGAATATGTGTTTCATGTAAATGAAACTAGTGTGACTGGTGAAAAGGTTGGACAAATGGAAATTGAAGATCTTGATGAAATAGACAGAGGAGTTCCTCATATTTTCATTCTTTTCGGACCAGGAAGTGATTTGTAAGCTTTTATAACACTTTGGATTTTTTTATTTTCAAAATCTTATTGATTGCCTGAAACATATATTTTGAATTATTAATGGTAATCCAGCTAAAGAATAGAATACATGAATATATCTTTTTATTAGACAATAATTGCCACGATAGACAAATTGGAAAATAGGGCTGATATCGACAAGTGCTTATTTTAAAGCTTAGAAGATAGGACCAGTTAGCACCTTTCATTCCCTGTAAATCTATAATGTACTCCAGATTCACTGTAAGTGGTGGTACTGTGAGTGTTTCATGTCCAAGCGCAATGCCATGTCTTGATCGTGAACAAACGAGCGCTTATGATCTTATAGTCGTTGCAATTGATAAAGGTATTTTAATTGCGAATTCAAATTCTTATATTTAATTGGACTTTTAAGCTTTCTTGACTTATAATTAAAATAATTTAATTTTAGATGAATACCGTAAGACAAAAAAATTAGCATAAATTTTATTTAATTCATTTAAAAATAATGCATATATATATATACAAAGTATATATAATGAATATATATATATATATATATTATATATATATACATATATATATGTGTATATATAATATAAAATATATATATATATATAATATATAATGTACAATTTGGTATGCTTGTGCGTGAGTGTGTTGTGCCTCCTTTACGTCCACAACAATTTCCCCTGACCTTAACACCTCTTCAAACCCCAATAAATTTCCTTAAGGGCTCTATTAAACTCCGTTGCAGTCTTTTGCCAAAATCCATTTGCAATATTATCATTCATTTTCTTTAAACTTCAATCTTTTTAACCACTCTTGTCTAAGGTACATATTATGGATCCGTCAAGCGGATAAGATATCATAAGATCGCATCCATCTTCGTTCAAATACCACTTGCATAAATAATGTTATAACAGAGCACCGCCTTCGCTAGTTAGAGCACATTCTCTGTCGTCCACCACAGGAGTTGATACATATTTCGTTATTTGCTAAACCGTGTGACGGTTGGCGTCAAAAGCAAGGTGGATCAATGAAGACCTGGACTGATACAACCAGAAAAGATTTTGAACGTATAGGGCGACCAGCAATATATGGACTTAGACGATGGAAAAAGGAATGGCTTCCATTACTGTCGACGAGGCATCAGACCGCACCGCTTGGAAGCGTCTTTCCCTTGTAGCCGTTGGAGCAAGCCTAACCAGTAATGGTGAGAGTTTTTAGAAGAAGAAGAAAAAGAAGAAACTTCAATTTTTTAACACCATTACAGTTCGTTGGCAAGTTTTTCAGAACCTTTGATAACCCTTCTTAATCATAATCATTATAAATATTCTGCCAAGTTGCACCGTCTTTTGTAAACCGACTAGTTGATGAATTAAATAATGTTTGAATTGTTTAATAATTTAATAATTTAAATTTTTTTAAAATTCACTTAAATTCCATCGATTTAAATTTTTCTTGGGTTCTTTATGGATAATAAATAAATAATTTTCTTCTTTTTGATTTATTTATTATTAATTTCTTTATGAACAATATTCGTCAATATAATAATTAAGTTAATGCACGTTTTCAATGGAAGAAAGATTCCACTTTGTTTTAATTTATTAGTAATATCCTCTTAGACACCGTGTAATTTTTCAAACTTTTCGAAATCCTCTTGAAAACGGAATATTCCTACGAACGCCGCTGAATTCTCTTAATGCACCATTAAATCTCTCTCTGATCTTTTGCCATATTAGTTACAGCATTAGCATATAATCTCTTATACTTAGAAGTTTTTCAGAATTTGTTATCAACAAAAACCTCTTTAACATCCTACCAAGTTCCTTTTTTATGGATGTTCCTTTTTTTAAATGCTATCTTGAAATTCTGGGCACAGAATATATAGCTCAGATAGCTCAACTTTATTACCTTTGATAGAATTATAGAACTAGACTGTTTAAAACAGTAAAAATAGTTTTGAATATTGCGTGTTATGCAAGGGTTGAAGGAAATTTTGCTCGAAGAGAATTTTCGATGGGATCGAAATATTTGTTACACACAAGGGACTATATATCAAAAAGCCTGGAAATATTAATCGGATTATTAATAATCATATGTGCTAGAATTTTTTTATTAATGACTTTAATAATTAATAAATCTGATATTGATTTATTAATAAATATTTTCGATCGTATTTAGACTATTGCAGGATTTTTTTTTATTTCTGAAATAGCTCATTTTTTTTTCAGGTGGGTTAAGCTCTATTCCAGTTATCCTAAAAATTATCGTTGATGATCGAAATGATAATGAACCCACTATTCAAATGCCTCAAAGTGAATTAATCATATCTAATGGTCGTATTGAGAAACCCTTTATTTTAAAGGTTTTTAGCTTTTATTAAACTTTTTCCACTGAGAAATTGACATTTATTTAGTAAAGAATTCAGAGTTTAGTATTTTCAGTTAAATTACAGTGTGCATTACAAATTTATTTTATTTAATATTTAATATCAAATACCAATTGTTCCTCTTGTAAAATTTTAGTAGATAAGAAAATTTAAAATCTATTGCGCAAGGGTATTTAAGAAAAATGGATACTTTAGGTCCGTGATTTGGATACGGCTGCATTTAGTGCTAATAAAGTTATTGCTGATGGTAATGCTTCGACATTCCTGATGTTTGAACGAATTCGTAACGATATTTATATTGCTAAACTAACTTCTTTACCAAAATCTGGTAAATATCAACTTGAAATCAATGTTCGAGATTCGCAAAAAGCGCTTACGGTACAAAGGACTATTGTCGAAGTCAACGTTTTGGTAACGTTTTGGATACGGCTGCATTTTTTTTATATGTAAATATCGTTTTCGTCAAACTTAAAGCATTTATGGTAAAGGGAAATTTCTATTTAAGTTTGAATTTTAATTTTAAATTTGTATTCAAATTTTTCTTGAATTGATGAGAATAAATAAAATAGAAAATTTTTTTTGCAGAACACCATTACGAAAGCTCATTTTAAGAGAACGAAATATGAGCGGACATTAACCAGTGAAAAATTCTTCCAAGGTCCCTTAATATTAAAAAAAATTTTTCCAAATAAATCCCTCAACATTATTCACGTCATTTCATTTAGGTAATCCGATACTTCAACCGGATTTTTGCGATGTACCAGTAGAAAACGTTAGATTTGTAATATTACGTAATGATCCAGGCTGGTTGACAGTCGACGAATACACTGGAAATGTTTTTATTGGAGACTTTTTAACGTAAATTTTTCATTATTGTTTAAGTCTATATTAGAAGAAATAGAAATAAACGGCCCATGAAATTCCGTAGGTTTGGTTTCTATTCAACACCTCATCACACTTTCTTAGTATCTCCTGGAGCTCCGTCATGCTCTCACGCATCTTTAACCACGATTAAATTATCTTCAAATATCATATCATATCTTTTTCGCACTTTTAAAGCTTTTTATTGTTCTTTAAAATTTCTTCTTATTCCTTAATTCCTATTCCTTATATTTACTTTAATTTCACACTTATTTACGGTTTTAGGAATATTATAATAGATGGACAGTACAATATATCGATAGCAGCAATCAACCGAACAGATGGACGAATTCTTACAGAAACAATTTTGCAATTGAAAGTCATCGGCAGGATGCAAAATTCAATTGTTTTTAACGATAAATTCATCATGAAAGTTGTTCGCAAAGGTGAGAAAAATCAAAAAATTGAAACCTTCTTTATCAAGGAAATGTCATAAAAATAGGAAAATCACCACGGAAAGCAGCAAGAATCATGGCTTCGTTGATGATTGATTTTAAGAATTATGTATGCTGTAGCTGGCAAGAAAGAAATAAAGAAATGATTTTAAATCAGAGGTTTTATTATTTTCCAAAATTTGATGCAAATCTTCAGATCCACAGTTGACTCGCTTAGCAATCAATATTCTTCCAAAAAACAATAATTTATCGGCGAAATCAGCGAATATTATTCGAGAAACTGTCGAAGCCATTGATGAAAAGCTTCATTCAGTTTCAATTCCAAAGGCTCGTTCGCATTTTAAAATATTTTATTTTTATTTTTACAAAAATTCGTTAAAATCGAACCGTGCTATTATCTGGTTGAATTTAATTTGTGAGTAATATGATTAAAAATGTTCAGAATTCGATCATTTTCGAAAAGGGTGACGTTATCCTAGATATGGGGAAATTGCCCAATTTGCGATCATTACAATTCCATTTGAACTCGTGGAAACAAAATGAAACTGGTGAAAGTTACTGGAATTTTTTTCCACTGAATCAATTAATATTAAAATCTTTTTATGATCTTTTTAAAACCAATTTACGAATTTTTCCATAATTTTTTATGATTTACTCAACAATTTAAATGTTGATTTCAGCGACTGTCATGATAATTTTAAGCTCAGACCCCGTTCAAGCAGCTTTAGAGCAACGTGAAAGATCGAGGCCACAATTTATTCTGCCATGGAAAATTGATATGAATTTGATCCCAGTAAGTAGTTTCAAGAGCACCACAGAGTTCTAACCTTTAAGAAATTTACCAAATGGTATATATAATTCATTGATAAAACAAATAAGCAATAGTTCATCATTTCTAGCTGCGCTGTTAGTGAGGTCAGAAATTTCAATCGGGTTTGGCTCACTTAGCACTAGAAACAAATCTAGTGTCATCCGGATATTTAATGCGCTTATTTCGGAACAGAAATCGAAGTTTTTTTTGTCAGCGCGATAATCTAAACACTATCTATTCCACTATGCTAGCCTTTCAATGGTTCAATATAAGAAAAAGCAAATAAGAAAGGGATTAGCACTCAGCGTTTCCGGTTAGGATCTTAACAGAATGAGAAAATTCTCCCAGAGAAAATTCCATTTGGAATAAAAGTAGATCCCCAAAGCCAAAGTTTCGAGTAGATTTACTACTGCAGTGGCAGAAGGCGAACCACAATGCTTAAAATACTTAAAATAATAATCTGGGTAATATTCACCATATTGCTTATGCAAGAAAAGATATGATCCAAAAAAATCTTTCTCTTGAAAAGAAAGAGTTGAATTTTTAGTTGTTTAATTCAGGAAATTTTTTTTTAATCTGATGTCTTTTAGGTGAAATTAGCCGAAGGTTCACCGAAAGGACGAATTATAGCTTCATTACCAGCTTATAATCCTCTCGATGCAAAAAAAGTTACCAATTTAAAACTGACTGGTGAAATGGCTGAATATTTTTCGATTGATGGGCAGACTGGTAAAAATTTTTTTTCAAATTATTAATTTTCAGAGATTATTTCATGCGTTCAATGAAGTTTTTCTTGAAGAATGAAAAAAACTGTACTTCATTTGTAATGAAATTTTTTAAATCTATAGAAAAGCTTATTGCTAGCACTGAAAGCAAGGTATTTAGAAATTATATGTAATTGAAAATGAAAATACATGGAATGAATTTCCAGTGAGAAAATAAAGAAAATTCCAGAAAGAATATCACAAAATTAAATAATTTACAAAAAAAGCAATTTTTTTGAGCTTCTCATATTATACCATAATTTCGTAATTTTTCGGGTGGCTGCTGGGGACCCACCCAATAAATAAAACAGTGCTTATCAATTTATTATTACTATTTTATAATTTATTTATTATTATTTATTATTTATTTATGTTATATACCATTATTATTATTATTACATAATAGTATTATCTTTTTCTGCGAATCATATAAATTTTTTTTGTCTTAAAATTTTATTCTTTTCATTCTTTATCTTTAAATTTTATTCTTTATCTTTAAATAAAATTCTTTTTTTTTTCTTTAAAATTTGATTATCATTAATTATCTTTATTTTTATCTTTGACACGAATATAACCTGTCACGGTATGTGGGTAGCTGCAGAAGATCCATGCTTGTCTCTATCCCTAAGCGACTCTATGGTGAAAGTCTGATCTCTGATCTCTACGACGCGACGTCCGCGTCTTCCTACGCGGATGATGCTTCTAACTCGGTGGTGCATGCGATAGATTTACGATCCGAACGTAATATTAATATTCCATGGGTCGAGTATAGAAAAGCTCATGGACCATGAGCTTTTCTTTACTCAGAATCCGTCAAGGGAGATGAGAACCTATCCGTTAATATTTTGTAAGCGCGGTGCTGGCTACAGCTGCTTGAAACGTCAGAACGCTTATGGATATAAGCCAAGCGATCGCTGTTCGCACCCTTTCTAAATACCGCGTGAATGTGGCTTATTTGTCGGATCTTCCTCAAGTCGGCTCTCGTATAATTATTAAACTTAGTTCCGAGCGAAGATATTGGCTATATCACTGTGACTTTCTCGGATAACTCGGAGTGAAATGGCGCAGCGATTGTCATATCTGAAAAGGCTCGATCCTTTCTGAATGAGTGGAAGTCAATCAGCCGAGCTGTCTGGCCTATGCGCATTTCAAAGAAAAGTTCTGCAATATTTTGGTTATCAGTATTTAAGTGCAGATGACCGCTATAAGGATAAGTTCAATGTAGAGCTTCAACTATTAATAACATCTTTACCGAGAGGTGACATGGTCATAATCGGGGGATACTGGAATGCGTGCGTGATACCGCTGCGATGAATTCAGTAACTGGCATTGGGATCCAGTGCGCCAATGGAGAAGCCTTCTTCTTTTTGCCAAAGAGCATGAAACTCATGCTTTCGACATCCGAGAAAATATCTAGTTACGTGGAATTCTTCGGACAATCAACATCCTAACAAGATTGACTATATATTGGTCAGTCACCGCTGGAAGAGTTCTGTACTTGATAGTCGTTCTTATCGGGGTGTTGAAACTGGTAACCGCCATGGATTTGATCATGTTATGATATAAAACTGACAAGTCATAAGAAGTAATAATATAAAATATCCCAAGATCTTTCAACTATCTCAAATTAAAAGATCCGGGAACAATAAGCACATTTAAAACAGTATTGAAACATTTCAGTGAAATGAACGATATCTCTGGAAAGGCGAATGAATACTGGTTCCGACTAAAGACATGCCTACAAAAGTCAGCCATCTCCACAATAGGGCGCTAGTTGGGTGTCGGAAGTCCAATTAATTGTCCAATTGTCTGAAAAAGCTGTCAAAATTCGAATATCAGGAGATTTTGACTATTGGGTGCTTTAAAGAATTGCAACGACAGCAGCACAGTTGGACAGAAATCGTATTGGAGTGACATGGAGACTGCGGCTCAGATAGATGATAATAGGAAACTATTTCTCTTTCCTTGCAAAGCAACTATAACTCCAGAAGAGGTCAGTGGAATGATAAGAGATATTAATGGAGTGCCTATTAAAGCTGTTAAGGATCACCTCAGAAGATAGAAAGAATTTTGAAGGCCAAATTTAACCATGACGCACCATCTGTTGTCCAGAATATAACTGATTTGCACATCGAGCAATATATTTGCAACTGCGAATCGTCAACAGAAGAGGAAATAATCTCTATATTCCATAAAATTAAGGCCAATAAAACTCCTGGAGAAGATGGACTTCTGACCGAATTTTTCAAATGTTGTCCATCATTATTAATTTTCAACAAATGTGTTCTCTGGTGTGGCAAAAGGAAATAATAACGGAAGATTGGAACAAAGCAAATCTGTTTTCAATTTCTAAGAAAGTTCTGCGAAAGTACTGACAGGAAGTACTGCGACAATTACCGAGGAATTAGTCTACTGGACATTGGAGAAATTTTCGCTTCTCTTCTGCTAAATAGACTCATGCCAACATGAGATAGTAGAATGTGCCCTAATCAAGCTGGATTCAGACTGGAAGGTGGATGTATTTATGTTAAGAAGGGTGCTTGAACGTTCGCTAGCAAATACTAGCAACCCACTATCACATGCTTAATCGATTTTGCAGCTATCTTCGGTTCGTTTGATAGGGTAGCGCTCTGGAAAGTGATGTGAAAGTGATGGTGTTCCAGAGAAGATCATTTGGCTTATAAAGGTATTTTATCAGCATACCCTGGCGCAGGCCTGTGTAAGTGGGGAACTGACAGAATAAGAACTGATGTCCTTTCCTCTACAATATTGCGATAGACTGGGTAATGGACACCGTTTGTCAGCACACAAGGTATGTGCAAAATCAGTCCAAAGCATAGCATCAGAGATTTTGAATTCGCTGATGATGTAGTCCTTTTTGCTGAATTATAATGAAATGCAAATAATGTTAAATAATGTGTCAATAACTGCAGCGAGAATTGGACTTAAAATAAATAAAACAACACTTTCTTCATATATGCTGATAAAATACCTATTTTATCAATTTATTGCCGGTTGGCGAAATGATCAACTTTAAATATCTTGGATCTAATCCCAAATCCCAATCTCTCTAATCTCTCTAATCCCAAATGGCCAGGCAAAGGATGAAATTGTAATCTGGCAGCTAGAAAATGTTTTCTGATTGATGAAACCTTTATTGAGCCGTCGCCATAAAGACCATAAAAATCACCATAAAGGCGAAAATCCATGTCCATATAGATGCACTTCGCTCGATCTTGCCTTATGTCTGCGAAACATGGCCAATGAAAGTGGAAGGTATCAAAAAACTATCAGTTTTTGCCCATTTATGTCTAACATATATTTTATGGATCCGTCGAGCGGATAAAATCGAATGATTGTATCCATCCTCAAATACCACATGTATTATATGTCGCCTTCGTTGGTTAGGGCACGTTCTTCGTCCTCCACCACATGAATTGACGCATATTTCGTTAATTGCTAAACCTTGTGATGGGTAACGTCAAAAACGAGATGGGCCAATCAAGACCTGGACTGATACGGTCAGAAAAGAACATATAAAGGAACCAGCTATATAGGGGTTTAGACGATGGAAAAGAGAATAGCTTCTATTATTACTGGCGATGACGTTGGACCGAATAGCTTGGAGATATCTTATCCTTATAGATCCAGCCTAACCAGTAATGGTGAGAGCTTTTGGAAAGAAAAGATTTTATGAATGGATTTTTTGAATTTATCAGATATTTAAAGTGATTGGAAATGGTTATTTATAATTTATAAGAAATCTTTTTCCTTAGCTATAGTATTTGTAAAATATTATTCCGCATCTATGGATTATATTACTTTATTTAAGGTGACTTGACTGTAGAACAACCTCTGGATTATGAAACTATTTCACCAGAAGATCGTATATTCGATGTGATTCTAATAGCTGGTATTGAACCGTATGATACAGTGGCTCGCTTAAAAATTGAACTGGTTGATATTGATGACAATCCACCAAAACTTGAAATTATCGGAGATTTAGATTTAAATAACGTCAGTTATTAATATTCGAATATTAATATTATTAATATTCAAATAATCTTTTTCTTATTTTTTTTCGAAATTTTTTCGCAATAAACTTATCTGATATTTCCAACTATCAAAGTGTCATTTCAGTTAACGGTAGTTGAAAATTCTCCACCTGGAACTATATTATTTGAAGTATTAGTAACCGATGCTGACTATTTATACGGAAAGAAAAATATTTTCGAATACACACTCAGTGGAGAAGGCTCGACAAATTTCCAAGTTAGAGAGGTTAATTTTTTGCTGGCAAAAACTGATTTCATTTTAATAAAAGACCGTTTTAATAGACCGTTGGAATTTTCAGCACAATTTTTTTAATAAAATTTTTATGAATAATTGCACCTCTTTTCATTCACTTCTTTGCTATGCAGTTTTTAATTTAATAATTTATTCATTTAATAATGATATTTAAGATAAATTATACAGTTGCGGTTGTTGTATCACCAGCTGCAGATTTAAATCGAGAAAAATGTGATTCTATTTTTTTAACGCTTCAAGTTAAGGATTCCGGTGATAATAGCGATAGTATTTCGGTTAGTTGCTTTTTTATAGGAATCTAAATAAAGTCTCTTGTTATCATGCTATCTAAATAAAAGAGCTCAGCTAAAAAATAAGTGAGATGGAATCGGTGATGAATTGCTTCGACAGAAGTTAAGCATCATGGGCTGTCGTTTCTTATCATTCGATGAGGGCAACAGGAGCTATGTTAAAAATGAAATCTGGAAGGTGTTAGAGATCTGCATTTCCATTCGAAAATGGCTTTCTGGCGAAATACTGAATGATTTTAGAAGAGAAAGGCAAAAGAAGAATGTGAATAAATTTGTTGCAGAATTAACAAAACAATATCGTTTTTTTTTCATTTAATCAATTTCAATTAACTCATTTTAATAATTTAATATTATTTAATTTTTTTCTAATTTTTTGCCAAATTGCTGTTCTTTTTTTTAAACAATTTTTTACATTTATTTTATTTTCTGTTCATAAAAAAATGAAAATATATTGCATATATAGAAAAGAAAATGGAATTTTCTTGGAGAAGGAGAAGATTGATTAAATTTATCGTATTAGAACTAATGTTTTGTCTTAATTTTTTTATTTATTTTTTTATTTTCTTTTGTATTTGACATTACTTCGATATATTTGAATCTATTATTATGATCGGCACTATTACTATCATTATTACAGGCATATGTCAGGATACTCGATGTTAATGACAATATTCCAGTGTTTGCTTCAAATGATTATAAAATTCAAGTAGTAGAAAATTGGCCAATAGGTACGGTTTTGACTTCAATCAGTGCGATTGATAGGGACTTGGCTAACAATGGGAGCATACAATATTCGCTCAACAAAAACACTGGAGAATGTATTTTTTTCGCATTTTCTCCTTCATTCCTTGTTATAAATTCCATTTTCAATAAACACGATTCGTTTGAATGATTTATAATTTATATGATTTCATTTGGTTTATGTAAATGTATTTCAGGTTAGAGCATCATATGTTTTCACATAAATCCACATAAAATTAATATAAAGACCTGCAATGCTTAAATTCTAGCGCATAAAAATATAAACATTAAAACGTGTTGTTTTATTTTATCGTAAAATACTGATGGTATTCTTAAGAAAAAGAAATTGTAGTTTTTGGAAGGATTTTTTAGATTTTGTTATTGATGAGAACATAGGTGTCCTACGAACTGCTCGACTTCTAATTGGGATGGCAAGAACGCAGCCTTACGAAATTTTTGTTACAGCATCAGATGAAGGTTATATTAGAGTAAAAACCATACCAATTTATAATTTTACTTATTCGTTAATATTCAATGATATATGTCTCTGATTTTCTGACAATGTAGCCTTTTTTTGTTATATACAAATGTTATAGTTTCAAATGTCAAAAGTGATCATGCAAACCGAGTACTCGGACTATTTAATTATATGTAAATTTATAAGATCTTGATTAGTGATTCTTTAGAAAAATATATTATATATTAAATATATTATATAAATAAAAGATTCGAACTCACGCGGCGAAACCTCAGTGGATTTAAATTTTAGGTGTTCCACCGCTTTCATCATCTACAAAACTTACGATCCATATAACAGAATCATTGCCACTGAGCCGCGAAGGTCGTGATAATGATATTCAAATTGTTGACCCACCAGTCGATTTCATCTTATATCTTGATGAGGTTAGAAAGCTGGATTGCGAAACAATGCAAATATTATTATAGAATATTTCCAATAATTATAATGAAATAATTTTTCACTGTCAAACTTATTTAAAGTTTAAAGTTATGGAAATTATGAATTAATCGCGTATTTGTTGCTGTTTCCTGGATGTTGTAGAATGAAAATTATTGTAGAACACACCAAGCAATCAACATATTTATACAGTTAGAGCAAAAAGTGGTAATTTCAATGAACAGTCTGATCGCGAAATCAAATATTCACTTGCTGTAAGTTTGAATTATCGAAATCCCTTTCAATCGATTTGAATTTTGTTGAAATTTAAAACTGTATAATATATAGATTTCTAGAATGATCCAAATTTTGCTCTATGTGATTAAGACCGATTCTGTATTTGAAGACTGAGTTCGATAATTTTATATCAACTTTCAAATTTTGCTAAACCATCCTACTGATTAAAAAACAAAATAAATTACCAAAAATTATTTACATGATAAAAATTGTTTGTTTCAATGAATAAACTGTACATTAGCCCGTCGATGATATTGCCGATGGTGGGTGGTTTACAATCGATTCAACTACTGGAGAAGTATTTACTCTAACAACATTGGATCGAGAAATTCGAACATCAGTCACGGTATGTTTTTTTGCGAAAATTTGGCTTTTAGATGTTTCAATAAAGCAATGTTGCAATAATTTTTTTTAATGAAAAATTCACTACATTTTTTATTCTATTTTTCAAAATTTTTTCAGCTTTTATTATTTCTTGTCATTGATTTATTAGTTACTTAAAATTTATTAGTTATTATTAGTTAATTTATTGGTTAATTTATTATATGAAAATTTATTAGTCATATAATTTATTATATAAAAATTTATTATTTATTAGTTAACAAAATTTAAAATTATGTCAAGAGCTAGGTGCTCCAAAGTTATAATCAGTGGAACCAACCTAGCCATACATGATGAGTGCTATTAGAAAAAGAAAATATGACCGTACCTGGTTTCAGTTCAAGTTTAATTTTTCATTGTGAATGTAGTAGGAATATTTTTATATCATTTCTATTATTTATGTAAAAATTATGCAAGACCACAAAAATTCCTAACAAACAAATTTTTGATAAACTTGATTAAAATCTGGTAAAAAAATTAGTTTTATCCCAGTATGAATAATGTTTCCTTGAATTATTTAAACTGCCAATTTATTTATTGAAAACCAGCCAAGCAGGGTGATATCTTATGCTTGTATTAATAACAACAGTTAAAATAAAAAATAATAAAAATTAATAACAAGAAAATGATATATAAATATTCCTACTACATCCAGACAAAAACAAGAAAAAGACGAAAATTAACAATTTAAAGAGGAAATATGGAGGGAATATAATTACAGAATAATATAATATAGTATAATTTGAAATAATTGTATTATACATAATCGGATGGCAAAGCTATCGAGATTTCACACTTCCTGCATGATGTGAACTTTTAAATAATATCATAAATGGTATTATCCAATTTTTCTATGACGCAAAAGCTATATCGTTCGGTAAGTCATAAGTCCATAAGGCGTCACATAAAATATTTTTGGAGAATATTTTTGATTGCTTTGTATATTTTGATAAGTTTTACAATCAGCATAAAAACAAATGGTAGAATTTAATATCACTTGGGTGATATTATTTATATATAACAGAAAAAGCAGTGGCGCAATACATCTAGCTTGGGGAACGTCAGATTCGACAGGTACCATGTGAGAAAGAATGTTGTTGACATATATAGCCTGGTGACGATCTTTTATATAATCTGGCACGCAGTTGTCCCCTGTAATACCATTAAGAGTGATCAATAATTTGCTAGTAGGAACAGTATCAAAAGCTTTAGCCAAATCTGGGTGTATAACTGATACTCTTTTTCCATTATCAATTGATGCTGACCAATTGGAGAGATTTGCCAATATTTGTGAAGAAATAGATTTTTTTGTACAAAAGCCCTGCTGATAGGAGGATATCAAATTATTGGCATCAAGATAAGTAAGTAATTTGTTGCAAATCAACCTTTCCAAATACCTTTCTACCGAAGCATGTTAGGCTGATGGATCTGTAATTAGAAGAGTCATAGATGGTTCCTTTTTATGAATGGGAATTATGTGAGACAATTTCCAAATTTTGGGATTAAGGCCAGATTTCATAATGTCCTTATAAATTAAAAATAGTGGAAGACTCAGTGAAATTGCACATTTTTTATAAATTATTTGTGGAATATTATTGGGGACAGCTGGAATGGACGGCTTAAGTTTATTTAAGGCATTATGAGCATCCAGTAGTATTATTTCAACCTCACAGAGAGAACTGTAACAAATTCGATTTACATTAAAACGAAAAGTATAAGTATTATTATCGTCAACGAATACTCTAGAAAAATATTGATTAAATACACTTGCAATATCAGCATCATTATGTTGCAGAATTAATTGTTTACGTAGATTTGCAAATTTTCTTTTGATATAGGTCCAGTAAGAATTTCTATCAATATTTAAAAGTTGCTCTTCTTTATTTAAAAAATATTTATGAATGGCACTACGGAAACTTTTTAAGCATTCTTTATATGCAGAGAGGTCATTTGGCTATTTGGTTAATTTGTACTTATTATAAAGCTACTCAAGCTACTTTTTTAAGAGTTTTTAGAAAAATGGGAATCGACCTAACGCTTTTTTTCCCTAAAAGGATATATTGCTCTATAAGAAATAAATGATGAAAATTAACTATTAAGAAGCTATTAAAAAAATTAACTTTTTCAATAGAGTGACTTAAACAAAATGAGAAATCCCAGTTTATTTCTGCATGGAATTAAAGATTTCATAATTGCAATAACAGTAATTTTTAGAAAACGTCGAGAGAATTACATACGGTCTAATTTACGGTCTAATTTTAACAACTCCAGCTCCATTGCTCTGCCAGTTGATAGCCCCAGAACTGCCAATTCCATCCAATTCCATCATTAATAAAAAAGACTCTTTTTGACGTGAAAAATTTACACTGACAACCAGCCGATAGTACTGGAAACCGCTGATCTAAAATCCAATTTCATTTATTTATTCAATTTAAATCGATTCATCGATTTCTTATAAAAATTTTCATTTCCTTTTTTTGCAAAAATATCATCAATAAAACAACAAACAAACCGTTCTCTCAACCAGTCGGCCACTAAGATTTGCTATTTATTGTATGCTCGCAATATTTGTATGCGAATGTATTTAAAATTTTACTTCGTTTCCTTACTTTTTTACTTTCTTATTTTCGGCTTTTTTGCTTGGTTTTACTTATTAGATTATTTTGATTTCCCTTTTTTTCTGATTATTTGCTAATTAGTAGGTTAATATCCTATTGATAACTCAATATGATATCATTCATGATATTACCTAAAATCACTGTAAAATTTTAGGCCACTAATAGAACCAACGTTGTCATTCGGAGCGTAAATTTTTCCACCTTCGTTTTTCTCTTTTTAGTATCTTTCATATTTTAGCATTCTTTTATACGCTGTCATGTCAATGCCATGAAACCTGCAAATGACGAATTCCATGCTTAAGTACAGGTAGGGAAGAGTTCTAATGCGGCTAAATTGACTCCGCTGTTTGTTACTACGGAAATTTCCAAATCTCAAAGAGTCACATTTGGGCGACAGAAATACAGATGGGGTCGCCATTACCACGCACAATTTTCAATAAGGTTCGTTCCTGTCGCTAGTCAATACTCAGAGGAATAATCCACTGAAATATTGTACTGAAAATATTGAAAATCTTCATAGAGACATAGCGATTTTTATTTCCTATTTACCAAATTTTCACATATTTAGTAAGCCAAATATACAATCTTCATTTTCATAAAAATAAATTTTTCTTGATTATAAATTCTTTCTAAGAATAATTCGAAGCGTTATGATATTGGTAGACGAGCCGAGTGAATAGCGGATAGTTTAGATTGTCGTGTTGAATAGCAAGACTGCGATTCCTGTTCATTATAGGAGTAAACCTATCATTAAAAAATCTGGGTGGCGTCCTACCTGCATTCCTACCTGTCGTGAATTTGTAATGTAGTAAAGTGATGTCGAAGTTGAATATTACCAGCGATTTGATTTTTGTGCTAAATCAAGTCGAGTGGTGTTAGGTTGGGACAAGTTGTGAACCAAATGAAATACACCAATTTTTTACTCCGTAAAAGACAACACCAAGATGTACCAATTTTTATTCCTTAAAAACACAACACTGATTTAACACAACAGGGTTCATATCTCATTGATAGTGGAGTGGTTTATATCAAAAATTCCAAGCACTGCAACTAAGATCCGATCCGATTAGAAGATTAGCGTGTGAATTGGAAAGGCATTTCCCGTTTAACAGGAATACAAAGATATGAGCTTTAGATAGAAACAAAAAAAACATAGGAACTTGACGGAAAATAATCTAATGAATGCAAAATAACTCATAACAGAAAACATTTATTTGATAACTTATTTGGTATTTGGTGGGAGTTTCTCGATATTAGAATTCGCGACACTACTTGGCAAAAATTTTTTTCAACAAAATTTTCGACCATACAATAGTCAGCTCAGCTAGCCTAACCAGTAATGGTCCTAATTTCATGGTATGGCCGGATAAGCCAAGGCCCACATAAGGTTTTCTTCTTTTTTATATTAATTTTTGCAGTTGTACTAATTGAAATTTCTTCAAACTTTTTTCAATTTCCATAGTTCCATTTATTTCATTTCATTGTTAGTTGGTGATAAATACATTTTTTATTGTACCTAAAATTTCATCGGACAATTTTTTTATGTCTCAAAAGGAAATTTTATGTTTACTAATTTGACTTTTGCAATAAAATTTCACTCAATAAAATTTAATAATAAAGTCGCTAAAATAAATTTTAGGCCGCTAAAATTAGGTCATTGAAAGTAGCGGCAAAATTAATATCAAATTTAATTAAATCCATCAATTAGCAAATCCATCAAATTTAACTGCAATCCAATTGAATTGAAATTCCTGAATTTCCATTTTTTCCATCGATTTTTGAATTAACTGGGCCAAATATTGACAAAAAACAAAAACTTAAGAAAAATTTTTTTTAACTTTTTAATTGCCAAATTTTAAAATTTAGCTTTTTTCGTTAAAATAATCGAAATCCATACCGTCGGCTGGCACATAGTTTTCTGGCGAAAGGCTTTCATCTCCTACTAGTCAATGGAACCAAGCAAATGGTAACTGTTTTAGAAGAATAAAAAGATATCAGTAGCATAATTTTTTAACAATCATTCTGAATAGAATTTAAATATTTATTAATATATTTATAAATATTTTTATTTGCGATTTTATCATTGGCGAAATTTTATAAGAGAAGAGAATGTAAATAGTGGTCTTGTCAATGAAATCTCAATGAAATGTTAGTTTTTTACAATTTTTCATCGAATTCATTGAATTAAATGCGAAATTGCTAAATAGTAATTATACGGCATTTCCAAGTGGAATTAAATACTTCTATTGTATTATGGTGAAAATTTTAAATCAAATCATCGTTCAGTTTCGAATCAAACCAGAAGGTCTCGAAAATCTTTTTTTCTTTTGCAGAAAGGACGTTATTTTCACTTGGCGAGCAGTCCACGACATTCACTTGAAATTTTATGCTCTTTTCGAATTTCTTTTTTCATTTTGTTTCGCCTCACTTAGACGTAATTAAATTTAATCCAAATCCAAATTTTAGAAATATTTTCATGGCGGATAAATAACAAATAATGAG